TGCTGGTACTCCACGGCCTGTGCGTCACTTGTCGCACGCCGTAGGTGTTGGCTGCACAAAGACCCCAGTGATTCAGAAAGCGCACGAGCATGTCCCTCCTCTCCTCATGATGTTTCGCCTCCGACCTCATCCACACCTCCTCCAATCCTTCTCCCGTGAACCCCAAGAGATTTGGTTCCAGCTCCGTCTGCGCATCTGTCCCCACAAACTGCAATACTTTGGACCCCTGGTATTGCTCGCTACATAGTTGCATGCATGCACACAGCTTAGCTAGAACGTCACAATATTCATCGAGCCTATCATCTCCCCGCTGCACTGTGGGTAGGTACACTGAGGACACAACCACAGATGCAAATTGTACAACAGCAAACCTCTCACCGCATTTACTGTCCGAAATAGTCGCCGCCCATGGGCCCCTGAAGGCCACAGCAGCTCGTCGGCACACACTAAAACGCACCTGCCACCCACATGCTTCAAATGCTGCAGATGACATGTACTGACACTCCTGCAAGCACAACACATCATAATGACAAAACTCCAGCATTGCTGGCAAAAGCTCGCTATTCCTCATGTTGACATTCCAAGTTGCCACCGCGAGCTGAGTGGCAGACTGGCACCGTCAATTGTTCATCTGTCTGAGCTTCGTGAGTAACCCCTCTTGATCCACCTCAGGCTCTACCCTCCTCAGATTATTAGTGTGTAGCGCCCACCCGCTGTGCACACCCCACTCAGCAATCAGTACTCTTGTGTCTGGATCTGCCTGTGGGTTTTGTGTAAACCATATGTATGATTTTGGCGGCCCTGGCTCCCCCTTGCACATTGTCCCCGTCGTCTTCTTCACTTCCGCAAAGCAACTCTGGAACTTACCAACCTGTTGGACATGGGGTGTTCTCCATGGCGCGCATTCTACATGAAACTTTACATTCGGTGGGAGGTCAGCGTTTCCCTTCTTGTATTCGCTGTCGAAACAATTCCGAGCCTGCCATATGATATCCACTGCCGCCCCCTTTTTGAAATAGATCCGCCCTCGTGTGTATGGCCAGTACCTGCTAGCATTCTCCGCCGCAGTTCTCGCATGATCAAAAGCAGCATTATGTGTTGCGTCCAGCGATGCCAATCCCAATAATTTCGTTACGTTGTCGGTCAGCACCTGTTGTTTCATGGCCTCCCTTTGTTTTATCTCTCTATTCTTCCAACCCTCACGTGATATCCATCCTTTGAACTCAATATATGATGGTACCCAGTTCGAATTATGCCCTGCACCACTGCCCGCGTCACCTGATCCGTATCTAGTCGACCCGCTTGCGCAAGATTGAGCGTCTCCATTTTTCAGATTCTGAATGTCAGCTTGGGCCTGTTTCATTTGCTCCGATAACGTTTTGACATCTGACGTTGTTCTGTCAATCTTCTCCTCCATGACATGTAAATCAGCTGCAACCGATGTTTTGAACTCACTAACCGTCGCAGTTACTTCACTCTGGCCTTTCAAAATCTGTCTGAACATTTCCTCGGGCGTCATTGTAGCTGGTTGAGGCGCCTGGACAGCAGCACTTTGGGCCACGGCCAGACCACTCGTAGCATTGGGGACTCGGGCTGTAGCTAAATGAGGCGCCTGGACAGCAGCACTGGAAGCCGCGGCCAGACCACTCGAAGCACTGGAACCTTTGCCCTCCCCTTTCGCCCTCACCTCTCTCAACCATTCACTACTCGCATTCCCTCCCATTTTGCTATCTTCTGCTTTGTCATCCGCCATGATTGCTGGCGAACGTCGTTTATTCCTCTCTTTGACTGTACGCAATGTGTGAAGTGCAGCCTGATATCTATCTGATTGCCCAATCTTCTTGAAATCGTACGCTTCCTGCTGAACAAATGCCTCTGGTGGGGAAATTTCCAACTCAAGTGCTATATGATCTTCCCTCTTCTCCTGCGTCGTTAATCGCGGCACAGTAGCTGATGTGTCTTTCAACCAGTCACACGGATGTGGGTCACTATCCACACCAAAGTCAGCTGACGTGAAATATTCACTCTGATCTTCTTCTGACGGTATAATATATGCTCCCTGCGAGTCCGTTTTCAATCCAACCGCCCACAGTGGTCTTTTGTAAAATCCAGACAAATCCTGATCTTCCTGCGATCCCCACGATATCTTGATATCAAGGACGAGAGCGAGGAATCAATGTGAACACAGCCCCCGCGATACGTCAAACACGCACCGCACGAGAGGGGGGCTCGAGGCAAGCCTGTGTGTGCGCCCTGACGTGGGCCCTGTTCGACGTCGAACCCTGACGTCTCGAACCCTGACGTCTTGAGCCAAGACAGTTAAGTACAGAAAACCGATAGTGTCTGTCAAGATGACTCGAATAGTACGAATAGATTTGTGGACCTAGTGCGGCTCACAGAACGAGTTCAGACCTCTAGATTCAACAAGCAAACGCGCCTGATCATTCTGAATGCGATAGTTGTGCTTACCAGCTCTGTAGCTACCCTACAGCTCGAGTTAAGCACAAAATACCGACAGTGTCTGTGAAGATGACTCCAATAATACGAATAGGTTTGCGGACCTAGCTCGGCTCACAGGCCGAGTTCAGACCTCTGGATTCAACAGGCGAACGCGCGTGATGATCCTGAGTGCGATAGCTGTGCTTACCAGCTCTGTAGCTGCCCTACAGCTCGAGTTAAGTACAAAATACAGACAGCGCGTATCAAGATGACTCGAAACGGCCGTTCCCGCCTGCCTGCTTTTTGGCCTTCAAAGTTACCCGATCGAGCTGAGGTCAAGATGGCGAGCGGGAATAAGATCGAATATCACGGGAAAAAATACTAGAGCTCTAACGAATGGTCAAATTTCGAGAACAAATTTTTCAACCGACCAAAAGTCGCCAAAAGTTCCGTCGAGATTTTTCTTGCCAACTGGGAGCCGGCGGTAAGCCGTCAACCAGGTCACCGCCGGAAGCCTCGTAGAGCTCTTTTCTCGCACGGCGCTGCTCGGAACAAATGGAGAAAGCTTTCTTAAGCGCGAGCTGAAAAACTCGGGGGGGGGGGGGGGAACAAAAAAAAAAAAAAAAAAAATGTTTCGGTTTTCGCCCAAAATCGGTTCCGCCAAATGTTTTAATAGTAATACTGCAGCTACGAATCTAAGAATATGACTGGCAGACGCGGCATAACCCACTACAGGTGCGAAAAATACCAATCCTCGAAACGAATTTCAAAATCTCTCACAATTGTCATTGTCCGCGGGCCGGGTCGGCCAACTGGGAGCCGGCAGTAAACCGTCAACCAGGATACCGCCAGGACCCTCGTAGAGCTCTGCAGAGAACGAATCAGTTCCCAGATAACAGGAGGAAGACATTCGTGAATATGAGCTTGAAAACTGAAGAAATATTTCTTCCGGTTTTACACAACGTCGGTTCCTCCTAGTCTTTTGATCGGAATAATGCAGCGAGAGCCCTGAAAATTGCTCCATCGAACGCGCTATGATCGATTCCAGAGGATAAAGATTTGGATTTGCAAAACGAATTTCAAAATCTCTCACAATCTTCGAGAAAACCGACCCCAGGTTGACACATAGTCCGCCCAGGCTGGGTCGGTCAACTGGGAGCCGGCGGTAAACCGTCAACCAGGTTACCGCCAGGAGCATCGTAGAGCTCTTTTCTCGCGTGAGACTGCTCGGAATACAAGGAGCTTCCTCAAGAAAAAAACACGTCTGTTCGTCTTTATCCAAAGTCGGTTGCTTCAAGTGTTTTGATAGTAATACTGCAGCTACGGACTTGAGAATTGCACTGGCAGGCGCGACATAACCCACTACAGGTGCGAAAAATGCGGGTTCTTGAAACGAATTTCAAAATCTCTCACAATCTCCGAAAACCGACCCCAGGTTGACACATTGTCCGCCCGGGCCGGGTCGACCAACTAGCTCCACCCCACGCCGGAATTCCTCTAGCTCATCGATGCCGAAGAGCTCCACGAGGTACTAGCTGCACCCCGCGCTGGAATTCCTCTAGCTCATCGATGCCGAAGAGCTCTACGAGGCACTGGGCGCCGGATGTAAACCGTCAACCTTGGTTACCGCCGGGAGACTCGTACAGCTTCCTTGCCATATATCATCTCCAGAAAATCAGCAGAGAACGAATAGTTGTTCAGCCCGAGCGCTAAGAGCAGACTTATTTCAGGCGTCCAGATACCTTTCACTAGCGCCCCTGATAATTTCCTTCCAATTGCTGTGCTGAACAGCTCTGTAGCTCATCTGCAGCTCGAGTTAAGTCAAGAAAACCAATACTATCCCCAAGAAGTTTTCACAGAGTACGAACTGGCGCCGGCGGTGCCTGGTCACCGCCGGGAACCTCGTAGAGCTCGTTACACGCGTAAGAGTGCTCAGAATCCAAGCAGAGAGCTTCTCAGAGCATTTCTAGAAGAAGAAGAAGAAGGAGAAGAGGAAAACAAAAAAAAAACGTCAAATTGACATTTTTCGGTGTCAACCGGATGTTGGTTGCTCCAAATGTTTCGATAGTAAAACTCTCTCTAGGGAGCTGAGCTGCCATGAGAACAAAGTTTACACACGAATGCTGGGAGTAAAAATATGGTTTCTCAACATGAATGGCCAAATATCTTTCAAATCTTAGCAAAACCGACCCAAAGTTACCACATTGCCCGCCCGGGCCGGGTGGGCCAACTAGCTCCACCCCGCGCCGGAATTCCTCTAGCTCATCGATGCCGAAGAGCTCTACGAGGTATAGCTGTTCAGCCCCAGCGCTGATAGCAGCCTGAGTTCAGGTGTCTAGATACTTTCAATGGCGGGCCTGATAATTTTCTTCCGATTGATCTGCCCAAGAGCTGTGAAGCTCATCTGCACCTCGATTTCAGTCAGGCAAACCAATTCCATCGCCAGAAAAAGAACAGAGTATGACTAGTTGTTCGGTTTCTGCGCTCATAACAGACCCAATCCAAGCGTCTACATACAGCAGAGTAGCGCGCCTGATGATTTCCTTCCGACTGCTGTGCCGAAGGGCTCTCAAGCTCATATGAGGCTCGAATTAAGTCAAGAAACCCACCATCATCTCGACACGAATCGGTAAAGTACTAATCGTTTCGCGTACCTAGCTCGAGTAGCAGACCGAGCTCAGGCCTCTAGATGCTTCAGACGAACGCGCCTGGTGATTCTGAATCGACTACGCGTGCGTACCAGCTCTGTAGCTCTCCTAAAGCTCGAGTTAGGTACAGAAAACCGGCAGCACCCGTCAAGATAACTCGAAAGAGCCGATCCCGCCCGGACGCTTCTTGGCAGTAATAGGTACCCGATCGAGCTGAGATTAAGACGGCGAGCGGGAATGAGATCGAATATCACGGGAAAAAATACTAGAGCTCTAACGAATGGTTGAATTTCGAAAAAATTAGCCGAGCAATAGTCACCAAAAAGTCCGTCGAGATTTGTCTTGCCAACTAGCTCTCCAGCGCGCCGGAATTACTCTTAAGCTTCCAGCAACTAGCTAAGGGAAGCTCTACGAGTTACTTGGAAGTGTCCAAAACCGGGAGAGCGAAAAGGTTGCTCTCGAAAGCTTTCCTGACGAGCTCTGGGACGCTTTCCCGAAGCGCTTCTCAAGCGCTGCCAGGCACCCTTCCGGACGGGCTGCCGGTTCAAACAGGCCTCTGCGGGGATTCTGGACCGGCGAGTTTGGGCCGCTGGCAGGCACAACCACCGTCGGGCTTCTAATCTTAAAGCCTATAGCTCTCAGAGAGCCCCCCGGGAAAAACCCGGAGAGCGAAGAGGCACTCACACTGGAAAGCTTTCCTGAAGAGCTTTGGGAAGCTCCCCTGAAGCGCTTCAGAAGCGCTGCCAGGCACGCGTCCACGCGTGCCTGCACGCGCGCAGGCACGCGTGGACGCGTGCCGGAAGCGATCCAGGACCCGCTGCGACCCCAAACAAGTCGCTGCGGGAATTCTGGACCGGCGAAGATGGGCTGCTGGCAGGCACCACCACCGTCCGGCTTCTAATCTAAAACCATATAGCTCTCAGAGAGCTCTCCGGGAACTTGATAGCGTCCAAAACCCGGAGAGCGAAGAGACACTCACACTGGAAAGCTTTCCTGAAGAGCTCTGGGGAGCTCCCCTGAAGCGCATCAGAAGCGCTGCCAAGCACGCATCCACGCGTGCCTGCACGCGTGCAGGCACGCGTGGACGCGTGCCGGAAGCGCTCCCGGACCCACTGCGACCCCAAACAAGTCGCTGCGGGGATTCTGGACCGGCGAATATGGGCTGCTGGCAGGCACCACCACCTTCCGGCTTCTAATCTTAAGCCCTATAGCTCTCAGTGAGCTCTCCGGCAAAAAACCGGAGAGCGAAGAGGCACTCACACTGGACAGCTTTCCTGAAAAGCTCGGGGGAGCTCCCCTGAAGCGCTTCAGAAGCGCTGCCGGAAGCGCTCCCGGACCCGCTGCGACCCCAAACAAGTCGCTGCGGGGATTCTGGACCGGCGAAGATGGGCTGCTGGCAGGCACCACCACCGCCTGGCTTCTAATCTAAAACCCTATAGCTCTCAGAGAGCTCTCCGGGAACTTGGCAGCGTCCAAAATCCGGAGAGCGAAGAGGCACTCACACTGGAAAGCTTTCCTGAAGAGCTCTGGGGAGCTCCCCTGAAGCGCTCCCGGACCCGCTGCGACCCCAAACAAGTCGCTGCGGGGATTCTGGAGCGGCGAAGATGGGCTGCTGGCAGGCACCACCACCGTCCGGCTTCTAATCTAAAACCCTATAGCTCTGAGAGAGCTCTCCGGGAACTTGATAGCGTCCATTTGGTAGCGTCCAAAACTCGAAAAGCAAAGAGGCAAATATTTCCCAACCATCCTGTGGTGTTGGGTCCTCGTTTTGAAGAGACAGCGCCCCGCGTTCCTCCTCTCTTCCTCCTCCTCTTCCCCCTCCTCCCTCCTCCCATCAGCATCATCATCATCATCATCATCATCATCGTCATCATCATCGTCATCATCATCATCATCATCGCCATCGCCATCACCCACCATCATCGTCATCATTACCACCATCGTCACACCTCTCACACGTTTCGTGGCCCCATAGGGAGCTCCACCGAAGGCCCCAATGCTGCCGCCCACATGCGTCAGCCACACCCAATTCGGCATACCCCTCACACGTTTCGTGGCCCCATAGGGAGCTTCACCGAAGGCCCCAGCGCTGCCGCCCGCATGCGTCAGCCACACCCAGTTCGGCACACCCCTCACACGTTTCGTGGCCCCATAGGGAGCTCCACCAAAGGCCCCAGCGCCGCCGCCCGCATGCGTCAGCCACACCAAATTCGGCACACCCCTCACATGTTTCGTGGCCCCATAGGGAGCTCCACCGAAGGCCCCAGCGCTGCCGCTCGCATGCGTCAGCCACACCCAATTCGACACACCCCTCACACGTTTCGTGGCCCCATAGGGAGCTCCACCGAAGGCCCCAGTGCTGCCGCCCGCATGCGTCAGCCACACCCAATTCGGCACACCCCTCACACGTTTCGTGGCCCCATAGGGAGCTCCACCGAAGGCCCCAGCGCCGCCGCCCGCATGCGTCAGCCACACCCACTTCGGCACACCCCTCATGCGCTTTCGTGGCCCCATTGGGAGCTCCACCGAAGGCCCCAGTGTTGCCGCCCGCATGCGTCAGCCCACCCAGTTCGGCACACCCCTCACACGCTTCGTGGCCCCATAGGGAGCTCCACCAAATGCCCCAGCGCCGCCGCCCGCATGCGTCAGCCACACCCAATTCGACAAACCCCTTTCACACGTTTCGTGGCCCCATAGGGACCTCCACCGAAGGCCCCAGTGCCGCCGCCCGCATGCGTCAGCCACACCCAATTCGGCACACCCCTCACACGCTTCGTGGCCCCATAGGGAGCTCCACCGAAGGCACCAGTGCGCCGCCCGCATGCGTCAGCCACACCCAGTTCGGCACACCCCTCACACGTTTCGTGGCCCCATAGGGAGCTCCACCGAAGGCCCCAGTGCCGCCGCCCGCATGCGTCAGCCACACCCAATTCGGCACACCCCTCACACGTTTCGTGGCCCCATAGGGAGCTCCACCGAAGGCCCCAGTGCTGCCGCCCGCATGCGTCAGCCACACCCAATTCGGCACACCCCTCACACGCTTTCGTGGCCCCATAGGGAGCTCCACCGAAGGCCGCAGTGCCGCCCGCATGCGTCAGCCACACCCATTTCGGCACACCCCTCACACGTTTCGTGGCCCCATAGGGAGCTCCACCGAAGGCCCCAGTGCCACCGCTCGCATGCGTCCCGCACACCCATTTCGGCACCTCCACCAAACACAGCGTTTCGTGGCCCCACAGGGACCTCCACCGAAGGCCCCAGTGGCGCCGCCCGCATGCGTCACCCCCACCCCAGCACAGCATTTCGTGGCCCCACAGGGAGCTCCACCGAAGGCCCCAGTGGCGCCGCCCGCATGCGCCACCCCCACCCAGCACAGCGTTTCGTGGCCCCACAGGGAGCTCCACCGACGGCCCCAGTGGTGCCGCCCGCATGCGTCACCCCCGCCCAGTACAGCGTTTCGTGGCCCCACGGGGACCTCCACCGAAGGCCCCAGTGGTGCCGCCCGCCTGCGTCACCCCCACCCAGCACAGCGTTTCGTGGCCCCACAGGGAGCTCCACCGAAAGCGGCACCCGCAATGCGATATTCACAACTGCACATGGTGGGGTCCTTCGCCAGGATAATTTGAAAGGCTTTCCTGGGAAGCTCTGGGGAGCCCTCCTGAAGCGTTTCTGAAGCGCTGCCAGGCACGTTTCCACGCGTGCCTGCACGCGTGCAGGCACGCGTGGAAGCGGGCTGAAGCGCTCCCGGACCCGCTGCGACCTCAAACAACTTTCTGCGGGGATTCTGGAGCGGCGAAGATGGGCTGTTGGCAGGCACCACCACTGTCTGGCTTCTAATATAAAACCCTATAGCTCTCAGAGAGCTCTCCGGGAAAAAACCGGAGAGCAAAGAGGCACTCCGGGAGCTGGATAAGCTGTCCTCAAGAGCTCTGGGGGGCTCTCCTGAAGCGCTACTGAAGCGCTGCCAGGCACGCTTCCACGCGTGCCTGCGCGCGAGCAGGCACGCGTGGACGCGCGCGGGAAGCGCTCCCGGACCCGCTGCGACCTCAAACAACTTTTTGCGGGGATTCTGGAGCGGCGAAGATGGGCTGCTGGCAAGCACCACCACCGTCCGGCTTCTCATCTAAAACCCTATAACTCTCAGAGAGCTCACCGGGAATCCCGCATAACCTTGGTAGCGTCCAAAACCCCGAGAGCAAAGAGACACTGACACTGGATAGCTTACCTGAGGGGCCCGGGGAAGCTCTTCTGAAGCGCTTCTGAAGAGCTGCCGGGCACGCTTCCACGCGTGCCTGCACGCGTGCAAGCACGCGTGGACGCGTGCTGGAAGCGCTCCCGGACCTGCTGCCGTTTCCGGCAACTCGCCGCGGGGGTCGTGGACCGACGAAGATGGGTTGCTGGCAGGCACCGCCACCGTCCGGCCTCTATTCTAAAACCCTATAGCTCTCAGAGAGCTATCCGGGAACTGGGCGCGGGCGATAAGCCCTCGTGGAGCTCTTCAAACTCGAGACAAGCGCCCGCAAAGCTTTCCCGAAGAGCGTTAGCGGCGGATCTACAGGAGTACTTCGCAAAGCTTCTCGACGAGTTGAGCTAAGAGGAATTCGGGCGCGAGGTGGAGCCACTACCTCGCCACCGACGAGCTAGAGGAATACCAGGTAGAGCTCTTCGTGATCGCTGAGCTAGAGGGATTCGGGCGCGGGGTGCAGTTAGTACCTGGCAGAGCTCTTCGTTATCGATAAGCTAGAGGAATTCGGGCGCGGGGTGGAGCTAGTACCTCGTACAGCTCTTCGGCATCGATGAGCTCGGTGAGCTAGAGGAATACCTCGTCGAGCTCTTCGGCATCGATGAGCATGATTCCGGCTCGGGATGGAGCTAATTGGCCCGCTCGGTCCGGGCGGACAATGTGATTCCTGGATAGCTCCATGGAATGCTGAGGGCTTCAGAAAAGAAGCCGGGGGTGGGTGGCGAGGGGGAGACGCCCATCTTCGC